CCAAAATAAACAAGTGGAACATTGAACTAAAAAGGTGCTCAGCAAAGGGAACCATCAACAAAATGAGGTCAACTTGTGGAGTAAGAAAATATTTGCAAACCACATATCTGCATATCCAATAAGGGGTTAATATCAAAATATACAAGGAACTCATACAATTCAATAGCGAACCCCCCCCCCACTGATAACCCAATTAAAAAATGGGCTAATGACCTGAATAGACATATTCCCAAAGAAGACATACAAATGGCCAACAATACATAAAAAGATGCTCAACATCACTAATAATAAAGGAAATGCAAATCCAAACACAATGAGATATCATACCTGTAAGGTGATTACTATTAGAAAACTCAAGGGATAAATGCTGCCACGGATGTGGAGAAATAGCAACCCTGTGCACTATTGGTGGGAATGTAAACTGGTGCAGCCACTATGGAAAATAGAACAGAGGTTTCTAAAAAAATTAAAAGTAGAACTACCGTATGATCCAGCAATTTCACTATTGGGTATATATTCCAATGGTTACAGAATCATTATCTTGAACTGTTACTTGTATCCCCATGTTCATTGCAGCATTATTCACAATACCCAACATATGGAAACCACCTGTGTTGATCAATGGATGAACAGAACAAGAAAATGGGAAAGCCATATATGCAATGGAATATTATTCAGTCTTATAAAAGAAGGAAATCCTGTCATTTGCAACAACATGAATAAACCTCAAGGGCATTATACTAAGTGAAATAAGCCAGACAGAGAAAGAGAAATGCTGCATGGTATCACTTACGTGTAGAATCTTTAGGAAAAAGAAAAAAAGCCAAACTCATAGAAAGTAGAAAAGAGATTGTCAGGGGCTGCAAGTAGAGGAAAAAGGCAGGGGAGGGTCAGAGAGGGAGACACAGAATCCAAAGTGGGCTCCAGGCTCTGAGCTATCAGCTCAGAGCCTGACGTGGGGCTTGAATCCATGAACTGCAAGACCATGACCTGAGCCAAAGTCGGACACTCAACTGAGCCACCCAGTCACTCCCCAAAATTTTTTAAATTTATTTTTGAGAGGGGGATAGGGGCGTAGACACACACACACACACACACACACACACACACACGCACACAGAATCAGAAGCAGGATCCAGGCTCTGAGCTGTCAGTATAGAGCCCAAGTAGGGCTCCAACTCCTGAATTACAAGATTGTGATCTGAGCTGAAGTTGGATATTTAACTGACTGAGCTGCCCAGGCGCCCCTAAGACTTTCATTACTTTTGATGCTGTTAATAGTTTTTTTTTGTTTTTTTGTTTTTTTGTTTTTGTAATTTCCTTTTCAGATTATCTGTGTTTGTGTATAGAAATGGCAACCGATTTTTGTGTGCTGTCTTTGTATCCTGGTACAATGCTGAATTCATTAGATCTAACAACTTGTGTGTGTGTGTGTGTAGTCTTGAGGACTTTTTTATGTATAAGAATATCTGCTCTTCCTTTCTGATTTGGATGCCTTTTGTATCTTTTTCTTGTCTAATTTCTCTACCTGGAACTACATACTATGTACTCCACTACTATGTTGAGTAGATCTAAGGAGAGTTGGCACCCTTGCCTTATTCTGATCCTCGAAGAAAAGCGTTCAGGGGGCACCTGGGTGGCACAGTTGGTTAAGCATCTGACTCTTGGTTTTGGCTCAGGTCATGATATCATGGTTTTGTGAGATTGAGTCCCATGTCGGGCTCTGTGCTGGCAGTGCAGAGCCTGCTTGGGATTCTCTCTCCCTCTCTTTCTGCCCCTCCTACACTCCGCTGTCTCTGTCTCTCTCAAATAATAAACTTAAAAAAATCTTTAAAAAAAAGAAAAGAAGAAAAGCTTTCATACTTTTACCCTTATTATGTTTGCTGTGGTTTTTTTTTTAAATTTTTTTTAACGTTTATTTATTTTTGAGACAGAGAGAGACAGAGCATGAACGGGGGAGGGTCAGAGAGAGAGGGAGACACAGAATCTGAAACAGGCCCTGGGCTCTGAGCTGTCAGCACAGAGCCTGACACAGGGCTCGAACTCACAAACTGTGAGATCATGACCTGAGCTGAAGTCGGATGCTCAACCTACTGAGCCACCCAGGCACCCCTGCTGTGGTTTTTCATGTATGACTTCTATTATGTGGAGGTAGTTTCCTTCTATTCCTATTTTTCTGAGTGCTTTTATCATGAAGGGGTATTGAATTTGTCAAATGCTTTTTCTGCAACGAGATCATGTGGCTTTTTTATTTTAGTATTTTATTGTTGTGAAGACTTAAAAATTTTTCCAGTATAATTAAGATACACTGTTACATTAGTTTCAGATGTACAAAATACTGATTCAGCAATTCTATACGTTACTCAGTGCTCATCATGATAAGTATACTCTTAATCACCTTCGGCTATATCACTCTTCCCCCCCATCACCTCCCCTCTAGTAACCATCACTTATCTATATTTAAGAGTCTGTTTTGGGGGTGCCTAGGTGGCTCAGTTGGTTGGGCGTCCAACTTTGGCTCAGGTCATGATCTCACCGTTTGTGAGTTCGGCCCCTCATTGGGCTCTGTGCTGACAGCTCAGAGCCTGGAGCCTGCTTTGGATTCTATGTCTCCCTCTCTCTCTGTACCTCCTCTGCTCACATTCTGTCTCTCTCTCTCTCTCTCAAAAATAAATAAACATTAAAAAAAAAAGTCTGTTTTTCTGTTTGTCTATTTACTTTGTTTATTTTGTTTGTTTCTTAGGTTACACATATGAGTGAAATGTGGTATTTGTCTTTCTCTGACGGACTTATTTCGCTTAGCATTTTACCCTCTAGATCCACCCATGTTGCAAATGGCAAGATTTCATTCTTTTTTTTGTGCTTAATATTCCATTGTATATATATCACATCTTCTTTATCCATTCATCTATGGATAGACACCTGGGTTGCTTCCATAATTTGGCCATTGTAAATAATGCTGCAACAAACATAGGAGTGAATATATCTTTTTGAATTAGCACTTTCATTTTCTCTGGGTAATTCTAATTTTCAAGGAACCTCCATACTGTTTTCCACAGTAGCTGTGCCAGTTTGCATTCCCACCAACAATGCACCAAGCGTTCCTTTTTCCCCACATCCTTGCCAACGCTTGTTGTTTCTTGTGTTTTTAATTTTAGCCATTCTGACAGAGGTGAAATGATATCTCATTGTGGTTTTGATTTGCATTTCTCTGATTACTGATGCTGGTCATCTTTTCAATCTCTGTTGGCCATTTGTATGTCTTTGGAGAAATGTCTGTCCATGTCTTTTGCACATTTTTTCCCCATTTTGTAATAGGCTTGTGTGCGTGTGTGTGTGTGTGTGTGTGTGTGTGGTTTTTTTGTTTTTTGTTTTTTGTTTTTTTGGTGTTGAGTTATATAATTTCTTTATATATTTTGGATACTAACCATTTAATAGGTCATTTCATTAATTTTTTACTTTGCTGTGTGGAAGCTTTCCTTTCTTTCTTTTTTTATTTTGAGAGAGACAGAGTGCGAGCAGGGGAGGGGCAGAGAGAAGGAGAGAGAGAGAGAGAATCCCAGGCAGGCTTCATACTGTCTGTGGGGAGCCTGATGTGGGGCTTGAACTCATGAACTGAACCATGAGATCATGACCTGAGTCGAAATCAAGAGTCCAATGTTCAACCGACTGAGCCACCCAGGAGCCCCGGAAGCTTTTAATTTTGATGGTTTCTTTTTGCTTTTGTTTCCCATGCTTCAGGAGACCTATCTAGAAAAATGTTGCTTCAGTCGATGTCAGAGAAATAACTGCCTGTGCTCTCCTCTAGGATTTTTATGGTTTTTGGTTTCACATTTAGGTCCTTACTCCATCTTGATTTTAACAATGTGCATGGTGTAAGAAAATGGTCCAGTTTTATTCTTTTGTATGTAGCTGTACAGTTTTCCCAGCACCATTTATTGAAGAGACTATCTTTCTCATTGCATATTCTTGCCTCCTTTATTGAAAATTAATTGACCACATGATTGTGGGTTTATTTGTCGGCTTTCTATTTTGTTTCATTGATCTATGTACCTGTGTTTGTGCAAGTATCATACCGTTCTGATTGCCACAGCTTTGTAGCATATCTTGAAATCTGGGATTGTAGTACACCCAGTTTTGTTCTTTTTTAAAGTTTGCTTTAGGGGCGCCTGGGTGGCGCAGTCGGTTAAGCGTCGACTTCAGCCAGGTCACGATCTCACGGTCCGTGAGTTCGAGCCCCACGTCAGGCTCTGGGCTGATGGCTCAGAGCCTGGAGCCTGTTTCCGATTCTGTGTCTCCCTCTCTCTCTGCCCCTCCCCCGTTCATGCTCTGTCTCTCTCTGTCCCAAAAATAAATAAACGTTGGAAAAAAAATTAAAAAAAAAAAAAAGAAATAAAAGGGGAGAAATATTGTATCTCATAAGATAATGTGAGAATTAAGTCTAATAAGATGATCTTTTTGAGGTAAAAGGAGTACGGAGAGCTTGCTAAGTAATATATTGGAAATTATCTGAAAGTGGGGTAAAAGAAGATAGAAATCTTGATTGGTTATAACCTAAAGAAAAACGTCAAACAGGTCAGGTATGAATTGAGTTAGAGAAGACTTACGTGGCTGTGCTGAAATATGTTGTGGGAATCTCAATGAAAATACTATTTGGGCAGTCCATGAAACATAAACTTACTGGAGGGAATATTGCTCAGCAAAGGTTACAGTGGTGACAGACTGAGGGGTAAAGTCAGCTCTAAGTTCAGATAAATGGAAAAAGAATAGAATGGGTAACAACGTGGTCTTGTGGTAAAAAATAGAAGACTAGGTTACATTTGTACCCCAACAATGAAATACCAGCTTAAATTTTGGGACAGATCACCATATCACTCTAAGCCCTTGTGCAATGAAGGATTAACCTCTTTTAAAGAAAGGTTTGGTCACTGACCAGGTTCTGGTAGGTAACCTCTAAAGCCTTGGCATACACTCTGATAAGATTGTCTTTGTTTACTTAGAGGCCTTCTGTGGGCCACACTATGCTAATAATATGATTTATGATGCAAGCCTTGGGCCATACACTGTCAACTTGGGTCTGAAGGGGCTGGAGACCGAGGGCAGCCACATGGCAATTAGCAACACCTACATGACCAAAACCGAGTAAAAACTTGGACACAAAATCTCAGGTGAGCCTGACTGGCAATACTCCATGTGTGCTGTTATTCACTGTTGTTGGGAAATGTAAGTGCTGTTCACATGACTCCACCAAAAGAGGACAATTAGGAGCTCATTCCTGACCTCTGCTGGATCCCCTGCTATGTACCACTTCCCTGATTTAATCTTAAATTGTGATAAATGGTGAATGTGAGTACAATAACTTTTCTGAAATCTGAGTTATTCCAGTGACTCATTGAATCTGAGGTGGTCTTGGGGATCTATGACTGGTGTCAGAAGTGGTGTCAGAATGGTGTCAGAATGCTTTTTCAAGCATTGAGTCTAGTTCACTGAAACATGGCAAAAGCACTGTTTGGAAAAAGGAAGGACAAGAGTGTCTATAGGGGCAGGGGGTTAAACTTAGATTCCTGGGTGACCATCTAGTTACTATGGTATAAAACTGCAATTGTGCTGCAATCAGTTACTTAAGGTAAAAGTTACCAGTGGAATTTAGAAATGATAGATTCAACTCCTGAAGCGTTGGCTCACTGGATACATAAGAAAAAACAAAATAAAAATAAACAAGCTCTAGGGATGCCTGGGCGACTCAGTTGGTTAAGCATCTGACTCTTGATTTCAGCTCAGGTCACGATCTCACAGTTCATGAGTTTGAGCCTCCACATTGGGCTCTGTGCTGACAGCATGGAGCCTGGTTGGGATTCTCCCTCCCTCCCTCCCCACTTGGGCTCTCTCTCTCCCTCAAAAATAAATAAACAATAAAAAAGAAACAAGCTGAATACACAATTCATTGGTTATTGTTATTTGCAATCTGGGCTAAGCTTGTATTTCATCCATTCTGATGTACAGTCACAGGGCTGCTACCAGAGGAAAAAATTATGCTGAAATAATAGATAGCTATGATCATTACAGTGAGTTATAGGAGAGTGAGGAAAGGTAAAAATTAAGAGTCAAGGGACTCATATCAGGGTATAACTCTTTAAACAATTTTTAAGAAATAAGGATAAAGCAGAAAAACGACAGAAGCAAAACAAAGGTCTTAATGCAGCAGTATTGTAGGTGGGGTGGATTAGCAGAAGACTGTGCTGTCTCTCAACACTGAAGGACACTTAACAAATCTGCTGCATTTTATCCTGTTTCAAAAGAACCTAAAAAAACCGCAGGGCAAAGATAACAGTGGGAAACCTGTCTTTGAATTGCCTGGGAACATCAAACTAATCAGTATGGGAGTCTGGGTGGCTCAGTCTGTTGAGCATCGACTTTGGCTTAGGTCATGATCTCTCGGTCTGTGAGTTCGAGCCTCGCATCGTGCTCTGTGCTGACTGCTCAGAGCCTGGAGCCTGCTTCAGATTCTGTGTCTCCCTCTCTCGCTGCCCCTCCCCCGCTCATGCTCTGTCTCTCTCTCTCTCTCT